GACACCGAGGGTTGCGATCCCGTTACCCGTCAGTAAAAAAGACAAAAAGGGGGAAAAAAAAATTGTATTCACAGCTTTTAATAATATTGGAAGAGACACACTTGTTTTCTTTGTTCTTTTGAAGATTTTTTTAGACCACTTAAACCTTCACCATTTTAAATCACTTTAACCATTTTTACCATTTTAAATCTCTTAACCCCCTTCTGCTGTTAGGCCCTACAAGCCTGTCGATTTTGCTTCTAGCTGCTTCTAAAAATGCTTTATTTCTCATGTTTAAAGTCATTTAGAATTGATTTTATTTTAGGAACTCTGCAGTTTTATGGACCCGCACTCTTGGTGTCCTGTACATTTATCATCAATAGGACACATTATCATTAAGGTTTTCAGTGTAGGACACATTGTGATTTTTCCCAAGGGCCAGTATCTACCATCATCACGTAAATAATAGAAAATGCACAGTGTGATAGGAGGAGCCTTAGAGACTGTTGAGAAAAGACATGGCCAGAGATACAAGCAGCAGCTGTGCCTTCAGAATGATTTCCTTAAATATTTGATCAAGTGCTCAAGAGCTTCCTCCTGCTTAGAAACGTTAGGGGAAGGGGAAGAGACTCCTCACCCGTGTCTGTGTAACAGGAGTTGTTTTTCTCCAACGCTAGGCATGCAGGAGGCATCGATGAAGCTCACCGAGTCGCTGCACGAAGTCTATGAGCCGGATTGGTACGGGCGGGAAGACGTGAAGATGGTCGGTGAGGTGAGAGCCCAGGTGGCAGCGCATGCTAGGCCTGGGGTGGCTTCTGCGAGGTTCCAACCGAGGGCCCCTCACTCCGCCTGTCCCCTGACCCCCTTCCCCGTTCATGGCCTTGATCATGAGGACAGACTGTGTACCCAGCAGGCACCGTGCAGTTCCGCCACCACCTGGGTAACTATAAAACCTCTTGGGTAGAAAGCTGTGGCTTAAAGATGATTTGTCTTTGGGCCGGCCTGGTGGCGCACTCGGTAGAGTGCGGCACTTGAGAGCGCGGCAGCGCTGCCGCCGAAGGTTCAGATCCCATATAGAGACCGATCCGCTCATTGGTTGAGCGCAGTGCGGGCATGACACCGAGGGTTGCGATCCCGTTGCCGGTCGCGGTGCGGGCGCGACACCGAGGGTTGCGATCCCGTTGCCGGTCGCGGTATGGGGGCGACACCGAGGGTCGCAATCCCATTACCGGTCACGAAAAAAGACAAAAAGGAAAAAAAAAAAAGATGATTTGTCTTCAAAGTAACAGTAGCGTTTTGTGTCCCTTGCTACAGGTCTTAGCCCATTTTTAGCAGAACTGGCTTCTGGTGTGGTTGTGTGTAGTAACTTCACCCCTTTGCCCCTAATTCGCCTGTTGACTGTTCTTCCCTGAACACAGGGACAGGAGCTCAGAAGAGCACCTGTTCCGCTTCCACACCGGCTGGTCCATCCGCCGATCTGCAGAGCCTGAGGACAAACCCAAAGTCAGCCTGCTAGAAGGAATTTACCTTCAGGAAGGCTTTGGCCCTAGACATGCACTAGCTGAGGGCCAGACTGTGTGGGGGGCGGGAAGTGAGCATGTGGCTTTTGCTGCTTTGTGGAAAGCAGGATGGGACAGTGACCAAGAGCAGCTCTGAGTGACATTGGACCAGCTCTTTAATCTTCTTAGACTTTAGATTCTTCATCTACAAAATGAGAGTAACAATTGTTCCTACTAGTAACACATTGAAAGCCTTTGTTTTCATGTCATTAACCTATATGTGCCCAGCGTGTTATTATTACTGATGTGAGAAAGCTGCCAGCCATGGATTCTGTCACCTCCAAGTTCTTTGTTCAAACAAAGAGCAGTTGTGTGTCACGTTCTCTGCCTCAGGTGAGTGACTGCAGCTCATTTGGGCACAGAAGAGCTGAATTGGGAGTGGCAGCCAAAGCTCAGGGAAGGTCTGACACGTGGTGGTCTGAACATCTCTGCAGCCTTGGAAAGGATGGGGGAACAGTGGTGTCAGTCCTGGGCTGGGCTGTGACAATTCAGACGTCCTGTCATTGATCTTATATATCATTATGACTGAGCTAAAAACAGATTTATTTATGTGGAAAGCTCTTGTTGGCCCTGTTACATCTTTCAAAAACCTTTCAGGATGTGGATTTGGCAAAATCAGTCTCACACATCATTTTCAAATGCAATTATTAGTAATAGCATCTTCTCATGTTTTTTCAATATGAAGACACTGTTTCAATATCATGTTGCTAAATACCTACTTTGTAAATTTCTGATGGTGGATAACTAAAAATTCATCATAAAAGGGAAATTTTTATAAGAATTATA